TTCATATCTTAGATGTTATTACTGTTTTTCTTATACATTTTATTGTTGGATGTAACTGGGACCCTGTGTACATAATTTCGCTCCACCACATGTACCACATGAGGTGCGAATGACAATAAAGAAACTCTGACTCTCTGACTCTGATATGCCTGTTATCATTTTATCATTCTCTTGCTGCCTCAAATCTCAAATGATTTGTAACACAAAGAATAAAAACTGTTGACACTTTGCAGCCTCAGTCTGATCAGAGTTTAAAATGACAAATTGAGTTGACTGATGCATTTTAACAGTTTAGACATTTTCTATTCTATTCATTCTTATAACCTAACATCAATTACAAAATCTGTCAAAGAAAGTCTTATTTGATTTTAAAAAACTACCTTTAATATTTATTAGGAGTGTTCTCAATGTATTTTATGCCAATTAAGGAGGATCATCTCTTTACTGTTTATTGTTCATTTTATGCATCTGCCATAATCATATTATTATTCCAACGGTTGAGTTAAATTACAGCCATTAAATTATTATTTCTTTGGGGGAACTGGACCTAAATGACACATAAAAATGAAGACCCTGTTTTTGTGTTTAATGGTTTAACAAGAAGGAAATCTTCCTCAAGCAACCTGTCTGATTACTGCGTCCACATTGAGTAAATGAATCTGTCTTTAATCTCTCATTATAAAATGATTAATAAACCTGGGGTGCCTGCATTTAAAAGAGGTGCTTGTGGGCACCTGAATGTAATTAATCTGTCTTTGCACACCTTCAAAATGAAAGGAAATATGAAGTTGGTGTCTTTTGCTGTTCTGTCTAAAAATGTGCTAATGTATGCACTGATAGCTGATAGCCTCGTGAGCTTTGATATTTTGACATTGAAAGGAAAAGTGTATGCGTTCAAATATACATTTGCCACAGTCTGCAGAGCTGTTTCTATTTTCTATCAGTGTTTCTGTTTTGTTTTCCCGCGGTTTAATGAGATGTTCCAAACGAGTCCCAAAACTGATGACTCAAAATCATTTCTGTGTCCGAGTCCTTCATAGATGACTGCCTGCCGTCTCAGACTCTAATTTGTGCCGCCTCTCTTGTCTCATCTGTGATCACATGTTGAATAGAAGGATCAAAATGATGCAGTTTTCATATATTACAGTCAAATTAAAACAAATCCAGCAAAGCACAAACGCAGGGAAGCTACATAGTTTGTAAAGTAGAACATTGGAGGGGACTGGAAGTCCATTTTTTTCTGTACTGACACATTTTTATGGATTCAGCTGAAATATCATCTGTCATTCCCTTATCTGAAGTGATATTCTGAAAGTCACCACTGTGACTCTGAGGTGACCCATCTCTCTGTCATCCATCACAGCCAACTCAAGTTCTGTTCGAGCAAAGATCGAAGACCCCAGAACCAAACGGACCTTTTCAAGATCAAAGCAAGCGGTCAAGAGAATGGCACCTTGTCAGGGAAAAGCTCAAGAAGAACCTAACAGCAACTGTTTGCGCTTGATATTTACAGGAAAGGGGCAAACTTTTTTTTTTTAATTCATTGGCATGCAGAATCTGTGTGTCAGCTTCATGGCTCCATGTGTCTTAATATCCATTTGCCTTTTGATGGCGTTCCGTCAGGACTTTAAAGTGGCGCTGATTGGGCTAATGATAATGTGTCACAGCAGTATGGTTCATGTTTGGCACGGAGCAGCGCTGCCAGCCAGAAGACAAGGAGAAGCTACAGGCCGATGCTGTGCTGTGCTGCTGGAAGTGATTGATGACTCACTCTGCTGTAGTGCTTTGATTAAGACTGCAGTGATTTATCACCACTGCTCACAATGTAATTAGACTCCATATATACACTCAACAAAACAGTGTTGTCTTCTTATATAGAGCCAGTAAAGTTGTATTTTTCTTTTTACGTGCGTGTGTATGTGCACACAAGTTTTCTGTATTCACTTATGCATCACATTGGACTGAGGTTCATTTAGGTCTGAACAGCAGGGGAACTCATTCCCTCTGCTTCTTGAACTGCAACCGGCAGCGAGCATGTCATTATCAAACTATTTAATATGT